TTAGACCGGTAGAAGCTGGGTGATTTCCTGTCACCTACGAGTTATAGGCTATAACTTGATCATGGTTGGCTATATTGTGCTATCGAGGAACATAACCTGGTGTGGTTGATTAATTGGAGACCGAGCTGAGTCTTATGTTGTGGTAATCATAGTGATTCCGTCTGTGTCGTTTAAGGATCGGTCGTTGGAGGTCATCTTGTCATGTTGAACGCATGCCTCTCACATAGTTGGTCGGATAAGTCGTTCCGATCACGAAGCCGAAGTAGCTCAACTCAGGCTAGGGACACGAGCAGTTAAAGTGCATACCCTGGAGGCAGTAAGGATGTGCAGAGAGCCAATGGTGTAAGCCCAAGGGTGGGTTAGAGTCTCGAGCCTCCTGGCAGATTGGTTGTATCTTTGAGGGTGCGACGCTGGTCTTACCCGTGATTGAACTTGAGTTGTACTAAAGGTGACCTGATGCGACCCCGACGGGGGGAGTATGGCTGTGTGTTAGGAATAATTCCCTAGCTGGGTAGGAATCGAATCAAAGCGCCGTCTCTCCCGGATAGTGAGAATTTGACAGGAGTACACTTCATCGTAGTAATTGATGGAAGTGTTGGTTATGAGATTATGAAAGAACTTAACTGGATATGGTTATTATTGTGTTGACTTAATGGTACCAACATGTTTGGCATAGGATAGTTGCTAATTTAGTATGACATAGGATTAATAACTGGTGGTTTACAATTTAAGAGATATTGTTCAACTAATGCTTGTTATGCAAATAATGTCTACCAGCTCTACTTATAAAGCCTTGCATACTCTTTGGTGTCTTAGTATTTTAGTTGATGACGGGTAAGTCTAGCTGAGTACCTTCTCATACTCAGGGTTTTATTCAAATTATTGCAGATAATATTATATACCACGGCTACTGCAGGAACTGCTTTGCTCCTGCAGTGGATGAGGAATAGGACTATGGGCATGGTCATTCTGTATATCATCTCACCCTTGTGCTTTTGGTTGGAGATGACTATGAAAACTGGTTCTGTATCTGAACTACTGTTGATGTCGTTCTAAACTATATTGCTTCCGCTACTTTTAAACTTTGTTTGTAATAACTATGTGAATTCCGATGTATGAGAATTATTTGTGAACTGTGATGTAACATGTGACTGGTTATGTTGAATCATGTACGATCTTGGCTTGTATGTTGGTTGAATCGAGATCCTTCGTGATACTCGACGGACTACCAGATTTATATGGGCTCAAGTGTGATGGTTTGACTACCTTGGTGGTTACTATTGTACTTATGCTCTTATAAATTGGACGGTTATATGACAGCGGTGACCGCGGCTCAGGCTGAGTGGTAGCAAACTACGTCGTGCACGCATTTTAAAGCTAAACAAAAATAACTAATTATCTAGTCTAAGGTTCAACCACTTATGCTAGTTTAAAGCCAACACTACCCGGTTCCAAACGAAACAATCGTTATGATCACAGAGCAGCTCGGGGGAAAGATAAACGAGTGCCAAGGTAAGGTCGTCACTGAAATGCCGGTTAACGTACAGAGAGCCAACGACATGGTTCATAGCGCGTTCCAACTTAGTTCGGGCAATTTTTATGAGTTCCACGTGACAACCAACATGACTATAACCTACACCATGCCCAAGTGCTCGTCTTGATGCAACCAACTGTATAAAAATATGGATGTATTGATTAATCATTTTTGTTGAATTTTAAATGCCAAAATAGCATTGTCTACAATTCTTTTCCGAATTGAACAGAGTAAAGGCTTCGTTAGAACTAACAACCTTTAGCGCTTTTGTCGTAATTTTTAAAGGGTCTAAGCCTTGTTAATTTCAACTAACTAACATACCATGACCTAGTCCATACTTTGTACTAACTCATAAGAGTAAAATATTAAAGCACTATTTAAGTATGTTCCACTATATAATTTACCAAAGATAGCACTTTAAACTTAAATTGTTTGTTTGCCGACTTAACCGTGAAGAGTGGATTTAATTTCAATTTGATTTGCGAGCTTCCTAAAAATACTAGCTGATATTATTATTCTCCAAGATTTAAAATTACATGCCCAGCTACGTAACTTGCCCTCAAATCTTTATTTCCACACTATACTCCAGTTATAATTGGTCGTTTTTCATAGAAATTGTTTTCATCACCACCTCTTTACTCTAAGTAAATGAACTCACTATATTATTAGATCTATCTCTCAGGCTATAATCTCAGTGCTTAGCGAGCTCGTAACACCAGAGGTGTTACATCTTTGTCCGCCCATCGATGACTCTTCTTGCGCCCACCGGAGGAACAACCTAGGTGGAAAGGCGCTGCGCTCGGTGAGAGGGTGAAGGAGCTTCTGATGCCGTCGAGGCTACCCGGAGGCGGGACGAGCAGCATATCAGGGGCGATGGACTGCCGTCAGGTGCGGTCGGCGCCTCGGCTGCCGGTGACCCAGGCGAGGTGGCCACAGCGGCGGCGGCCGGCTCAGGCAACAGAGGGGGGAGCACTGGTGGAGGACTGCGCCAGGCGGCGGCGGCGTGCCATAGGGCTCAGAAGATGCAGACCCAGCAGCTCATAATCCATCCCCACTGGGGCTTCCCGGCGCCGGCTGCTGCAGCTGCGGGCGGGGCGCCGAGGTGGCCTCCATGTCCCAAGGTGACCTTTGCTGCGCGACGCGGCTGCTGTCCTCCTGGCCGCCGACAGCCACGGTGGAGCCTGCTGGACGGGGCTGCTGCGGCGAGGGTGCCGCGGTCGGCACGCGCGTGCCAGATCCGTGTCGCCCCGTAGTCCTGGGGCAACCACGCAGCGGGGGTGGAGGTGGCGGTCACGGCGGAGTGGCCCAACCTCGACGGCGCGATGGTGTCGCCGGAGTGGCCAGACGCGGCTAGTGGAGGAGGTGGAGGAAGGGGAGGAGAGGCGGAGGCACCCGGTGTCGGGGAGGAGGTCTTGGTCGCCGGATCTGGCCGCGGCTGGGCCGTGACGGCCAACTCCGTCCCGGCTACGGTGGTGGTCGTGACGGCGCGGGCGGCCCCCGAGCGCCAGATCTCGCGGGGCTTTCGGTGGAGGGGAGGGGAGGGGGGTGGAGGGGGGGATGGCGGGGGCACCTTGCACTGGGTGGCGGCCGGCGCCTCCGGCGGCGGCGGGGACGGGGCCGACAGGGCGGCTGCCTAGGGTTGGGTCCGCACCTGAGGTAGATTGGGTACAAACTCTGAAAAATGGTGTTGTCTGGATAGTGGGCAATGGCCAATCAATCAACATCTGGAAGGATCCATGGTTACCGCGCGATCTATCATGGGTACCGATCACTCCAAGATGAAGAAATTTTATCACCAAGGTGGACGAGCTCATAGACCCTTACACTAAACATTGGGATATCCCATTGCTTGAAGAAATCTTCAGAGAAGAGTTCATCCAAATCATTCGATTCATACCAACACACGACGAAATGGATGATGTAGTTGGGTGGCATTTTGATGAGAAATGTATTTTCTCTGTGAAGTCTGCATACAAATTGCTGTGAGCTTTTGAAATTTTGTGGACAAAGAAGCCATGGCTGTGCTGGAGTAGGAGGTAGTAACGAGGAGTTAGAGTAAACAGATATAGAGATTGGAGTGCCCATCGAAAGTCAAACATTTTTTATGGAGAATTAGCCACAATACTCTAGCTACGAAGAGAGTCCTAAAGCACAGGGGGTGGAGCTGTTCGCTGGTTGTTTTTTGGGCTGATAAGCCCGGCTAGTGCTGATTTGTTGTGAGAGAAAAACAATGTTGGCTGGCTGATAAGTCCCTGGCTGAAACCAACAAGCGAATAAGCTAGAAAACTGATACTCTTTGCAACATTTGTAACAGACTAGATGAAAGATGGCGGACATCTATTTTTCAAGTGCAAGGAAGAGAAAGTGGCATGGCGCGAACTGAATTTGGAAGGGTCAGGTGCAACCTGATGGCAGCTGACTCAGCAAGACAAGTCATGGAGTCCATACTGGGCTTACGGGGTAAGGAGCAACTCATCGTTATCCTATTGCTATGGATGTGGTGGAATGAGAGGAACAAGAGAAGGGAAGAGGGGAGAAGTCGCTCACATACAGAAGTGGCAAATTTGGCAGCAGTCTACGCTGCAAATTTTCTGAAAACACCGGCTCGCACGCTATTATCGAATAACTGTCAGAGACCTAGATGGAAAAAACCACCAGAGGGTGTCCTGAAACTGAACTATGATGGAGCGTTTAGCAAAGAGAGAGGAAGGACGGCGGGTGGGGCTTTGTGATCAGAGATGATTAAGGCCAGGTAATCAAGGCGGGGGCAGGAGGAGAGGGTTTCTTGCTGGATGCGTTCCATGCAGAACTCCTGGGTTGCGCGGCGGGCTTGCAAGAAGCTGCTCGGATGGGGATCGCCCATTTACACATCGAGATGGATGCTACGCTCGTCAAGGCAGCACTGGAGTCGGATGATCACAGGCTCTCTGCGGTCGGAGGTATCATTACTGAGATAAACCTCTTGTTAGCTACAGAGTTCCCTTCCTGTAATGTAATATCAGTGTTTGTAATCGCGTTTGTAATGGAGTGGCACACGCTTTGGCCGCTCATGCTTGTAATTTTCTCAGTGGGCATATGGCTACTTGGGAGGGTGTACCTCGTGAGACTAAGGTTGTGGTGACCAGCGATTTGGTTGGTATGAATGAGTAATAAAGAGCACCTTGGATAAAAAAAAAAAAAAAAAAAACTATGACATTGAGAAATTCTGTTTGAAGCGTAAAGAACCACGGAACAGATGCTTGCAATCTGAAAAATCAGCTGTACTAGTTTCAAAAAAAAAAAAAAAATCAGCTGTACTTTGTTCTAGCAATCACACGAAAAACTCCATTCCATAATACGCGCTACACCACGCGTTCGCAAAATGCTAGCACACCACACTCACTGCACCGCTACACTACTGCGCACAACACCTGTGTCTTGTCATTCCTGTGCCGAAGAACAATGCACGGTCACAAAGCCGCCCGGTTCACCGGCCTTGCTGCTGCTGCTGCCGCCGCCTGGCCGCGGCCACCGCGAGCGCGAGCAGGATCAGCGCAGGGCCGACCACCAAGCCGAGCCGGAACCCGCCGTGTCGCCGTCGCCGCCGCCGGCCCCGCCCTCGCCCTCCTCCTCCCTTGTTGCCGCGTTTTTTCTTGGCACCGTTTTGGTTGTTCCCCTCACCGTCAGAGCTGCTGCTTTCTTCCGACTCGGTCGTCGTCCCTCCCGAACTCTCTGCTGCTGGTGGCGTCGCTGGCTTTGGAAGCTCCACCGCGGGCTCTTCGGTGGGCGGCTGCGGCACAGGTTCTTCGTCCGGCGCCTCAGCCGGTGGCTGCTCTTGCACCGGCTCCTCGGCGGGTGGCTCCTGCACAGGTTCCTCGGCCGGCGCCTCAGCCCGTGGCTGCTCTTGCACTGGCTCCTCGGCGGGTGGCTCCTGCACAGGTTCTTCGTCCGGCGCCTCAGCCGGTGGCTGCTCTTGCACCGGCTCCTCGGCGGGTGGCTCCTGCACAGGTTCCTCGGCCGGCGCTGCCCGTGGCTGCTCTTGCACTGGCTCCTCGGCGGGTGGCTCCTGCACAGGTTCCTCGGCCGGTGGCTGCTCTTGCACTGGTTCCTCGGCGGGTGGCTCCTGCACAGGTTCTTCGTCCGGCGCCTCAGCCGGTGGCTGCTCTTGCACCGGCTCCTCGGCGGGTGGCTCCTGCACAGGTTCCTCGGCCGGCGCCTCAGCCCGTGGCTGCTCTTGCACTGGCTCCTCGGCGGGTGGCTCCTGCACAGGTTCCTCGGCCGGCGCCTCGACCGGCTGCGGCTCTTGCACGGGTTCTTGTTCTTCAGCCGGCGCCTCAGCGGGCGGCTCTTCTTGCACAGGTTCTTCCGTCGGCGGATCTTGCACACGTTCTTCTTCTTCTTCACCCCCCGGCGGCTCTTCCACAGGTTCTTCTGCTGGCGGCGGCGGCGGCTTCGGCTCCTCGGGCTCCTGCACGACGGCCGGCTCTGGCGGCTTCGACTCCACGTCGCAGGGTATGTCCACTGGAGGCTGCGGCACGTCGGCCGGCGGGTCGGGCTCGCGGTGCGGCGGCCCGAGCACTTCGATCGGCGTCTCCACCAGCGGCTCCGGCTCCGCCGGCGGCTCGAACACGACGTCGCACTCGATGTCGACCACCCGCGGCTCGGCCTCCACCTCCACCGGCGTCTCCACGGGCACGTTGCGGTCCTCCTCCTCTACCTCCACGGGAGTCTCCACGGCCACGTCCGTGACCACCGGCACCGGAGTCTCCACCGCCACGTCCGTGGCCACCGGCACCGGAGTCTCCACCGCCACGTCCGTGACCACCGGCAGCTCCGTGACGACCGGCACGTCGCGCGGCGGAGGCGGCGGCGGCGGCGGCGGCTCGGGCTTCGACTCGACGTCGATCCAGTCCTCGTGCTCGAGCTCGAGGCTGGAGGCCTCGTCGCCGCCGAGGTCGAGCTCCTCCTCGACGTCGACGCCGCTGTCGTCGCTCTCGCTCTCGACGTCGAGCCGCGCCTCCTCCTCCTCGTCGCGGCCGTCGCCGTCGTCCGGCGTGTCCGGCCGCCGCCGCAGCAGCTTGGGCAAGATGACGACGAGCAGGGCGTCGTCCTCGTCGAAGCCGACGGTGATCCGGGCCACATCGGCGCCCGGCGGCACGTCGAAGACTCGGCGGAACCCCTCCACCGCCTGGCGGTGCGCCACACGGAGCCTCCCCACCGCGGCGTCCACCGTGAAGGCGTCCTTCCTCGCGCACGCCACCGCCACCTCCGTGCCGGCCTCGCCCACGCGCACCTCGATCTCATCCTTGGCGTAGCCTGCACGCGCACGCAACGCCAACGGATCGGAGGAGAATTAATTACGAGTGGACGATTGGTCAGGATGGATGCTGCGTGCGTACTGCGTACCAGGGAGGTGGGCGAGGACGAGGAAGGCGGCGTCGGTCTCGGTGGTGACGAAGGCGAAGTCCTCGCCGGGCACGGGCGGGCAGGTGACTTGCACGGCGAGGTCGAGGTCCATGGCTGGCGCCCGCCTGGCTTGCCTCGGCGGCATGGACGATCTGTGGTGGTGGTGCCATGCGTGTGGGGTGGATTCCTGTGGCTTAAACCTCGGAGTCGGAGCAGGTCTGGACTGGACCCAGAATGTGAGCGCGTCTTGAGGTCGGAGGCAGCATGGCATGGCCGGCGGGGTGCCTTTGCATCGGTAGCACGGCACGGATGCATTCCTCTCCGGGGTGGGTTTGGAATGAAGAGATGCTCCGGCCGGCGCACGGAAAGGCTAATTGATTGGTCCTTGCTGTTGATCAAATCAAAGAGACCGACACGGCAGAAATGAGTCGGAACGTATTCAGATTTCAGAGCAAACGCCTTCGCTTGGCTAAGGAACCTACTAGTTTTTTGTAAAGCGAAAAAAAAATCTAGCAGACTAAATTTTCGATCCCTTTCGTATGACGCAATTTTTTTTTTGTTTTATAGCCCTTTTTTGAATTTTTACAAATATGCTCATGGAAGTATGCTTTCAAAATCTGGACCCTTATCTCGCCGCCATCGTTGGTGACGTCGAGCTTATACGTCTCGGCACCATATATTTTGGTGCCTAGGTCTTAGGGCTCGGTGCAGATGTGACGGTGACTTGGCAGGTACCTTGGTGCCGTAGATCTTAGCGCCGAGCTTGGCGCCGTGGTTATTGGTGCCAAACTTGGCGCTGTGGTTATTAGCGCCGAGAATGGCGTCAAGATCTATGACGCCGAGGTGGTGTTTTAATCCGGCGCTCAACCTTCCTACCCGAGTCTTCTTCCTTTTCTTTCTCCTCCCTCTCGGGTTTTTTCTCTCCCCACTTTGCCCTACCTCACGAATCGACATATTGGATCTTGAAAACTTTGATTTGATCCGTAGATCTTCGAGAGCCAGGTATCCTCGCTCCCTCCTAGTTTTTTTTTTCAAATCAATTTGGTATATATTTGTTGGATTTTTTAACTTAAGAATCGTCATTACTTAGGGTTTCATGCAATTTTAATATTTATATTATACAACTGTAGGATACCAAGGCGTGGAAAAGCTACCAAATCAAGGTAACATCAGCGCACGTTGTTATGATATGGGTTCATTGTTGTGGATCAAATGGAAAACCCTAGGTGTAGGGTTTAATGTTAATTGCTTTCGGTTCTTGGAACAAAAATGGCTAAATTATAATTATGGCTGGATGATCGAAAATGTCTTCGATCCATTGCCTCTGCCTAGTGGTGTTTTAGTGCCCATGTGCTTTTGCGGCGATCCTTACAAGGTAGCCAAGTTCGATGAAGAGGGCATGTATAGGCAGAGGTATTGGATGTGTTCTAATTTTATGTTTGAGCCTACATTTCATCAATGCCGCACTAACAAGATGGTGAGGAATTGATGTTTGTGTCATATGACATCTTGCATGATTTTTTTGTTTTGTAACAATTGTATTTTTTGAAGACCCCTCCACCGCTCTCTGATTTTGAGCAGTGGATCGACGCTGAGATCAAACCTGAAGATAAGGAATGGATACAGAAATTGTTGTGGTGGGAGGCAGATGACAAGGAGATGATGGAGAAGAGACGCGGAGAGGAGGCTGCAAAAAAGGAGCACAAGAAAGAGGAGGAAAGGAGGCGTGTTGCTGCAGTGGAGGAGAGGGAGAAGAAGCTTGAGCGTGCACGTCGAGCGAAAGCAGCGTTGGAGGTGAATCTCGATGTCCTGAGAAAGGAAAAGTGGCCTCGTTGCACTCAGTAGTCTCCATTACTTGCTTGTTCTGTGGTTTATTCATGAACAATGTTGTCCACTGTTGGATATTTCATTGTGTTGTCATGTAATGCATTTTAAGTATGGGCATGCTTAGGTCATGTACTGCGTTATTTAGTTTGTCTGCATGTACTTTCTAATATTATTGTGTTGTTTAATGTGTCATAGTATTAGACTTTTCATTATGTAGTTGTTTTTATTATTTATGGTCATAATATTCAGTTTAATATTGTGGACGTAGTAAAATGTGATCACGTGCCGCAAACAAAACCTAACGAAGTAAGTCATTATATAATTCAACATACAAAACACATGAAATAGCATGTGATAACATGTAGCGAACTAGGGTATAGAGGTCCTAAACTAAACCTAACATGCCTTAGATAATTAAAGCGAACAACAAGCACAATAAATGGCATGTGAGAACATATACCAAACAAGGGTATATAGTTCCTTCGACTAAACCTAACATACCTTAGGTAATTAAAGCAAACAACAAACACATGGATGTGTCATGTGAATAAGATATGGTCATTCTAGTAATGTGGCCATATAGCAAATTGTGTTGCACCTTCTCCACAGTAGCCTCCCATTGTTGGTGGTGGTGGTGGCGAGGGTGACGGCGGAGGCCCCTTGTTCTTGTGATTAGGGCAGGTGCAATATGGATCATTGTAGAGTGCCTCCTGTGAACTTGCACCATTGTTGTCGTCGTCGTCTTCGTCTTCCTTGTACCCACTGCTAACTTCCCTTTGTAGATTGAAGATTTGGTCCTGCAGGTAGTAGATGTACTGCTGATGCGGATAAATTGATCGAGGATCGACCCACCTAGTGAACCCACATTTTTCTTCAAACTTGGAAGACTACAATAAGTATGTCCTATGAGTTGTAAGGGTATTCGAGAAACATATTTAACAAAGGAAATGTAAAAGCAATTACCCATGGTCATGGGCATTTGAAGAAGCGACGACCTCCATCGATCCCCTCGGTGAACATCTGCACTAAGCAGTCCTCACCATGCATGCATTTTGGCCAATCTTTCTTTCTGTTATCGTATCCTCTAAGAAGGCACTCTTTAGTGAAATCACTCTTGCTCTCGGGAGAAAACTGATACACTGATTCCTCAAAGAAATCAGGTCCAAGAGACCCTCCCACACAATGGGAGTTCCCTTCATCTCCCCCTTTCCTCTCTCACTCATGAAACCCTTTCCTTTAGATGACCCTCCAGACATTCCTACTCTAACGAAACCGAATACTAGTTTGGTTTTTCTTTTGGTTAGCAATGCATTCTAGAACACATATATATAGGTAGAGGCAGGTTTGCTAGCAGTTGTATTGTGCTGTAAATGCTCCTGTAAAGTCTACTCAGAATCATGAAAAAGCCTACATCGTAGGACACAGGAGAGCCTAGATTCCATGACTGTAAAGCCTATTCGATTTCAGACTTCAATCACTATTTCAAAGGACACTGAAAAGTCTATTCGATGGTGACATGACAAATCACTATAACGGCTATTTCCCCTAGATTTCATGACTGAAAAGCCTATTCGATTTCAGACTTCAATCACTATTTTGAACCGAAAAAACTGATGGCGGTGATTAATACGTACTTTAGGCAGAAAATTTCATCATAATTTCCCATATTTTTTGATGCCATCGATACACAAATATGAGATGAATATTTAACCTCAATACAACATGTACAAACATACAAATATATGCCATATTCATCTGAAACCATATACATGAGCAAATTAATAGTCCACACAGTCCATAATTATAGTCCATAGTAGTTCATATTCGATAATAATAGTCTATACAGTCCACAATAGTTCATAATAAAAATCCACAAAGTCCATAATACTACATAATAACATCTACCATAAACCCTCACTGCCTCCTAGTCTTACCCTTACCCTTGTGATCAAGAGGGTCGGTGCCTAGAGTGGAAGGTCCTATATGGAATAAAACATAGTCTCCCGTTACTTCACGAACACATATACGCTCACAAAAAATTAAACAAGACATATAAATTATTACCTGCCCCTCCACTATGAGACGTCCTCGGTGGGTCTCCTCGTACGTTGGGTCGAGTAGGTGGAATTGCGCCATCCTACAAAAAAAGTCAATGAAATAGAAATTCAATATACAATGAAACATAAACTTAGAAATATATAAGTAATTGACACAATTACAAGCATAAATTAAGACATGCATAATTAATTGAATGAATACAACAAATATGAAATAATGAAAACAACCAATAGTCGCACCTCACTAATCTGCCAATGGCAAGTGCGTGAATTGTGGCCCAGTCTACCGCACTTGCCGCACTTGTACTGCTCGGGGTCAGTAAGAAATAGGGTTCCTCTCCCATGCCTCGTTCTTCCGGGTATCTGATCCATAACCATCCTGTGCCTCGTCCTCTTCCTTGATCCATGCTTGTTCCAATGGTAAGCTGGATCCACAATGTACTTTGGCCCATCATATGGAGGTCATTCTCTAGGATCCTGGAAAGGCACAAAGCGGGGGCTCCATGTGTGCACAAGCCTGTCGACACTAAATTCGTGAGGTATCCTGCTCTCGATATTAAAGTTGCGAGGCCAAGCTGCTACCACCAAATGAGAACATAGAAAGTGGTACTGCCTTGGTTTACCACAAGTGCATGTGAAATCTTGGAGGATTACCACACGCATCCTCGACTCTCGAACCTCACCATCGGACGTTGTACCGCCCCCTATGCTTAACCTGATAAGTCCTTGTGGCGTGGTCAAAACATGTAACCTCATGTGTACCACCCCTTTCATTTGCCTTCTCTAGGCGTGTCTTTGGTTTTGGAGCTCATATCTCTCCATCACTCCGCAACTTAAATGCATGGGCGTGTCTATTGTTGAACCAGGCAACAAGCTTGTAGAAGGTGAATTGAACGATTGCATTCATGGACATACCACGTATCCCCAATAGCAACTTATTGAATGACTCTGCCATGTTACTACACTAAAACTCGTATCTCCATCCACCGACGTCGTGAGCTCTTGTCCATTTCTCCAAATCTCTTATCAAACCTGTGAGCCATTGTCTACCTTCTGCATTTGATGTGTTTCTGACCTGCTCCAACTTTTTTTGAAAGTACTTCACCCCAAGCTATCGAGCAGCCTCCTGGAATAAATCAAAGTTATCCTTCACACCATCCTTTTGGAGTAGATTCTTGGCAAGGTGCTGAGTACACCAACGATGGTGCAAAGGTGCATATCCCTCTATCTTCTCTTGCACAGCAATAAGTATGCCCTAGTGCCTATCAGATATGACGTCAACCTCCCTGCCAGGCCCAACCATATGTATCCGGACTAGCCTCAAGAACCATCTCCAACTGTCATTGTTCTCCTTCTCAACCAAAGCAAATGCCAAAGGAGTCAACTT